CTTTAAGATGACAGATCTATAGTTCCCTGGGCTTGTTGTAGGAAACATAATGGAATGCTTACTGAATGAGGTAATAGAAAAACATCTGGAAATGAAATAAAGAATAGTCAGAAGGTATTTCAAAACGGAATGTCATGCTTGACCAACTTCATTGAATTCTTTGAAGGGATAACAGAAAGAGTATACAAGGGTAATGCTGTAGATGTAATATATTTAGATTTCCAAAAGGCGTTCGATAAGGTATCACATAATTGACTGATGAATAAGTTCAGAGCATGTGGAGTCAGTGGAAAAATAGCAGAAAGGATAGCAAGCTGGCTACAAAACAGAAAAGAGAGAGTAGGGATAAAGGGTAGCTATTCAGGGGTGGGCAGTGGTGTTCCACCAGGATCGGTATTGGGACCACTGTTGTTCACAATATACATTAATGATTTGGATTCGGGAATCAGCAGTACAATTTAAAAATTTGCGGACGACACTAAATTAGGGGGAGAAGTTAACACAGGAGGACTGCAACAAATTACAGCAAGACATTAATAAACTTGCTGAGTGGGCATTTAAATGGCAAATGCATTTCAATGTAGAAAAGTATGAGGTGGTACATTTTAGTAGAAGGAATAAGGAAGTTGCAAAATCCTGGAAAATAAAAATCTAAATGAGGTAGAGGAGCAAAGGTACCTAGGGGTACACATATACAATTCACTAAAAGTAGCAACACAGGTTAATAAGGCCATAAAAAAGACAAACCAGGCATTGGGGTTCATTTCTAGAGGGATAGAAATGAAAAGCAGGACAGTAATGGTAAACTGCTACAGAACCTTGGTTAGACCACACTTAGAATACTGTGTGCAGTTCTGGTCCCCACATTATTGAAGGGATGTAGAGGCACTGGAGAGGGTGCAAAGGAGATTCACAAGGATGATCCCAGAACTCAGAGGTTATAACCATCAGGAAAGGCTGAATATGCTTGGACTCTTTTCTCTTGAAAAGAGGAGGGTAAGGGGTGACCTGATAGATATCTGTAAAGTGATAAAAGGTTTTGATAGGGTAGACATAGGGAAGATGTTTCCACTTGTGGGGAGACCAAAACCCAGGGCCATCAATATAAAATAGTCACAAATAGATGAAATAGAGAAGTCAGAAGAAATTTCTTCACACAGAGCAGTGGGAATGTGGAACATGCTACCACAAGGAGTTGTTGAGGCAAATGGCATAGATGTATTTAAGGGAAAATTAGATAGGTACATGAGGGAGAAAGGAATAGAAGGTCCTGCTTGAAAGTTTAGTTGAGGAAGGGCAGGAGGAGCCTCATGTGGAGCATAAAGACCGGCGTAGACCAGTTGGGCCGAATGGCCTGTTTCTGTGCTGTATATTCTAATGTATTCTAGTGTACTTCCCAGTAGAATCGATATTGATTCTATTGTATCTATGCGTATGTACAGTGGTGAGGGAATGTACCTCCAGTAAGAAAGTGACCATTAAAAATGAAAGAGGAGGAATAGTGGGTAATATGGTTTAGGTTCTGTTTGCTAAGCAGAGAAGTAATAACAATAGTAGTAGTTGGTCAGGGGAAACCCAGAAGTCAGGTTAGGCAGTACGAGTTAGGTAGTAGGCTAATAGCTGGTTGTGTCTGTTGAGTTTACTGGAGCCACTCTCTGTGACTTAGTGTCACCATTGTCGATTGAATATTGCTGTATATGACTGGTTGAGTCTGAGGGTTTACCGGATGCCAGTCCCTGTTTAGTGTTGGTAATACGAGTGTCAGTTGTCTCTGAGGGGTATTTCTAGAGACTGATCTTTCTAGTATATGTCAAGGTGTAATCCCAGGTCTATTGTTTCGTCTGAAGTACAAATGTCCTGGATGTGAGGTAACCTTCTGCAATTGAACGACAACAAGACCGAGGCTCTCCTGATTGGTGCCCATCAGTGCCTCCACACCTCAGGCACAGACAGTATCATTATCCATGGATGCACATTCCATCTCACTGAGTCAGTCCAGAACCGTGGGTCTTGTTTAATCCTCAACTGTCCTTCCTACCCCACATCCGACCCACTCTACCTTGCCCCACCTCCGTAATATCACCCGACTCCACCACTGTCTCACCCCTCAGGCTGCTGAAACCCTCATCCACGCATTCAACACATCGAGGCTAGACTACGCCAACTCCCTGCTTGTCAGTCTTACCAAATATTACCTCCACAAGCTGCAGATCATCCAGAACTCTGTAGCTTGTGTCCTCTCCCTCACCCTCTACGACCTATGACCCCATCACCTCCACCCATACCCCAGAGGATAGAGTGCAAAATCTTCATCCTGTCCTTCAAGGCACTCCACGGACTTGCTCCTCCCTATCTCTGCAACCTGCTGACCCCTCACTGATGAAGACCCGGAAAAGAGCATCGTGGAGCAAGATTAGCTTCTCTCTTTATTTTGGTTGTGATGGCCCAGATCACTTCTTTGATTGAGCACGGAAGGAGCAATGAGACTTTGGACCTTTGAAGCTGTATCATCAACTCCTATCTGTATCAAAACACATTTTACTGCCTCCAATGCCATTCCACTGATCCTCACATCTGACTTGGACTTCGGAACCCAAATTCAAATTCGGAACCCAGTTCAAATTTGAAAAAGACTTTCCGATCTGATTTATACTAGAATTGTACCTTACTTCCGTGTTTCATTTTGATAGAAAAAACTGTGCTTCCTTGTCCTCCCTGCTTTCATTTAATATAAGCTGTTTAGAAGCCAAAATGCAAATAATTGTGCCTGCCTCACTACATTTATTGCATTTTGCCTTTTGATATTGTTTAAATTATTAAAACATTCCTTGCATTTAATATAGCAGCTTTCATATCATAAGAAGTTTCAAAGCACCTCACATAATTTTAGTGTAAAGTGATGACATTTTGTAGGCAAATATGGCAGTAAAGTTACACTCAGAAATGTAACTCATGAAGTGAGCAACTAATTTTATTTGGAGAATTGTCGTCCAAGACACTGGAAGAAACTATTTTCTTTTCAAATAGTATCATGGAATCTTTCACGTCCATCTGACCAGGCAGATGAGACTTTGGCTTATTGTCTCATCCGAAGGAGCATCTCCAAAGACATCCAAATATATCTCTCTGCCTCCACCCTTGATTCCAAGGCCACTCTGCTGTCCTAACAAAATGTCTGTCATCAAGTCTCATACTGCAGGTCACTGAAACCTTCAAATACGCATTCGTAATATCCAGGTTTGACTATGCAAACTCGATGATTCTCGGTCTCCCCAACTCCTCCCTCCATAGGCTGCAGATCATCTAGAAATCTGAAGCCCATGTCTTCTCCCAAACCAGGCTCTGTGACCCTATCACCCCCATCCTCGCCCAACTCCATTGGCTTCCCATCTCACAGAGAATACAGTTCAAGATCCTGGTCCTCACCTTCAGAGCTCTCCATGGCCTTGCTCATCCCTACCTCTAAGACCACCTAACCCCCTACCAACCAAAGTAAATCCAGTTTAAAAAACAAATACAAAATGCTAATATCTCGTTGCAAGCCAAATAAAGTAATTAAAGGCAATTTGCATGTGTCTTTGTCTGTGTGTGTGTGTGCCTGATACCTGGGATTAAAAAAGGCATTGTGGATTCCGTTTCATTTCGCTGTTACTACTACTATGAATAATTCTCAGATTTCATATAACGCCTTATCACGTCTTCGAGGTGTCTCAAACGCTTCACAGAATATACTGTAAAATGAATTGACTGTGTATTTTATGGGCGAAACGCAGCAATCAATCCCCAAATTATTATTGTTTTATTATTTTGGTGGGGGAGGGATTATTACCCCCAGAGAATCGATCCACCAATCGACTAACAACCATGTTCCTACTTACTGCTAGGTAAACAGAGGGGTATGAAGTAAGGAAACTTACCCAACATTTCGCCCTGCCTGGAATTGAACTAAGCTCTCTCGCTTGCGAGGCTAGTGCTCAAACCACTGAGCTACAGGACTCCACATCATTGGTTACTCAGTTGATGACTGTTCTGGTCTTTGCATGAATAAAATGCTTATGTAACAAATTTATTTAACCATTGGAACCAGACCCCTGGTATATTGGCTCTACACCCTGCTGAGCTGGTTATACATGAGATCATTTATCATGGGGGTGTTGATGGGTATTGTTAGGTTTCCTAGGAAATATTGTAACACTAGTTCCAATAATCCAACAAGCACCAACAAGCCAGTCTGGCTCATCAGCACGACCTGGGGGAATGGCAGACCAGTGTACAGCATTTCAGACCCAAGCTGGGGTCAGGGGGGGGAGAAGGGAGAGAAGAGGAAGAGGGGTGGCCGATGGCATGGTCGAAGAGTAGGATCTTGAGGCGGGACTTGAAGGAGGTTAAGGAGGGGACAAGGTGGAGTGATTGGTGGATAGAATTCCAGAGGTTGGGGCAGAGTGGCTGAAGTCTCTCCCACCAATGGTGGGGCAGGTGGGTTGGGGGATGTGTAGGAGGCCGGAGCCGGGTGAGCGGAGGGAGCGGGTGGGTTGGTAAGGGGTTAGGAGGTCGCAGAGGTAGGGTGGGGTGAGGCCATGGAGGGCTTTGTAGGTGAGAACCAGGAACTTGAACTGGATCCTCTGAAGGATAGGGAGTCAATGGAGTTGGGCGAGAGTGGGGGAGATGGGGTAAACAATCAATAACACTAAGAAGCAAATAATATCAATGCTAAGCAATCAATATTTCAAGGGACAAATGTAGGAAGTAAATAGCCATAAAAGTATATTTTGTATATATATATAAAGTATAAGTTTCTATGTCAATGGATCATAAAAGCATAGCTATCGTCACAAAGATGTAACTTTTGCTGAAGCAACCTTCGTTATTGAAACAGACGAAAACAGAGAAACTAATTGTGTAAGTAATGTTTCTACATTGAGATTGTATTTCGGTTTTCTTTCCCCTTTGCCACACCTACCTTATCTGCTGCTGTAGCTTTTCCCCTTTGCCACACCTACCTTATCTGCTGCAGTAGATTTTCCTGTAACTGCTGGAAACAGTCCACCTTGAAGCAGAACACATGACAAAAAATCAACTTGGTTTTTGCATTTCAATGTAGTTCACTGAATGCATTTTCTCCTCTGTGGTTCTGTGCTCCAGCTTATCATCTGTCACTGAATTGTCCAGATGCTCTCCCACTGAAACCTGCTCCACTTGCCCTACTTCATTCCCCAAAACTAGATCTAGCACTGCTTCCTTCCTTGTTGGGCTGGAAACGTACTGATCAAGAAAGTTATCCTGTATGCGTTTTAGGAATATTTCCCCTGCTTGCCCTTTGCGCTGTTGCTTTGCCAGTTTATGTTGGGAAAATTGAAGTCCCCCATTATCACGACCCTATTGGCCTTGCATTTGTCTGAGATCTGCTTGCAGATCTGCTCATTTATTTCCTTCCCACTATTTGGTGGTCTATAGTATACCCCTACCAGTGTTACAGCTCCTTTTTTGTTCCTTAACTCTAACCAGATAGATTCCATTTGGGGGCCCTCCAGCACGTCAACCCTTTCCACGGTTATAACTGTATTCTTGATTAACATTGCCACAACCCCTCCTTCTTTTCCTTCCCTATCCCTCCTGAATACATTATAGCCAGGAATATCCAACTCCCATTCCTGTCCTTGCTTGAGCCAAATCTCTGTTACTGCTACTACATCATATCGCCGTACGACCACTTGAGCTTGCAGCTCACCAATCTTGTTTGCTAAACTCCGTGCATTTAGGCACATGCACTCCAAGACCAACTTGACCTGTTCTGCACTTCCCCCGCTTTTTTTCCTCCATTTTCTAGCTCTCCGTTTTTTGCATTCCCTTCCCCCCTCAAAACTAGTTTAAACCTTCCCCAACAGCATTAGATAGCCTGTCTGCAAGCACATTCGCCCCAGCCCTGTTTAGGCCAAGCATTCACATGCTTGATCCTGCCACTCTGGTACTTATTTGCCCGAGGCACAGGGAGTAATCCAGAGATCACCACCTTAGATGTTCGATTCTTTAGTATGTATTCCCCAGCTTTTGATACTGACCCTGTAGAGTCTCAGCACTTTTTTTACCAATATCATGGATCCCCACCTGGACTACCACTTCTGGATGTTCGCCTTCCCCCTGAAGAATTTTATCCACCCTTTCTGCGATGAATAAAGATGTAAGGGCAACTTGAGACTCAGGAAAGAGGCGTTCACTAAATACATAAACAACAAAGGAGAGCATGACAAAAAAAATTACAAAGAGGTCAGGAAAATAGTCAAAAAACAATTAGGAAGGCAAAGAGGAATTATGAAGTTAAATTATCAAGGAATATAAAAAGAAATAGTAAAATATTCTACACCTATACATAACAAAAGAAAAATCAAAATCGGAATAGGGCCACTAAGGGATGGACCAGATAAGCTCACAGGCCGCCACAGTGAAATGGCAGAAATATTAAATAATTACTTTGTCTCAGTATTCCCCAGGGAGACGGATCAGGTGGACTTGACAGTAGAAGAGATCGAAAATAATATAAATACATTTATAATAATAATAATAATAATAATAATCCTTGCATTTGATATAGCGCTTTTCACGTCGGGAGGACGTCCCAAAGCGCTTCACAGAACACACTGTAAAGTGAATTGACTGTATATTTGTGGGCGAACGCGGCAGCCAATTGCGCACAACAATGTCCCACAAACAGTCGTAGATTGAAAATGACCAATTTATTATTGTTTTTGGTTTTGGAGGGAGGGATTATTATTAGGCTCTGTGTGGAGTAAGGAAACTTGCCCAAGGTTTCGCCCTCTGCCTGGAATTGAACTCAGGTCTCTCGCTTGCAAAGCGAGTGCTCTAACCACTGAGCTACAGGACTCCACTTTTTTATTTGGGGATTGTTGGCCAGGGAATTTTTACCCCTTCTGCTACCTCTTTGCCCGTCTTCAGATAGCACCTGAAGGCTCCATTTAAGATACAAAGGGGAGATATAATTGAAAAACTAACAAAACTCAGAGAGGATAAAAGCCTTGGTCCAGATGGTTGCATCTGCGTATATTAAAAGAATCGAGGGAAGAGATAGCAGAAGCACTATTACACATATATAATAACTCATTAGAAAAGGGAGTAGCGGCAGAGGACTGGAGAATAGCTAATGTTATACCTATATTTAAAAACGAAGATAGAACAAGCCCAGGGAACTATAGACCTGTCATCTTTAAGATGACAGATCTATAGTTCCCTGGGCTTGTTGTAGGAAACATAATGGAATGCTTACTGAATGAGGTAATAGAAAAACATCTGGAAATGAAATAAAGAATAGTCAGAAGGTATTTCAAAACGGAATGTCATGCTTGACCAACTTCATTGAATTCTTTGAAGGGATAACAGAAAGAGTATACAAGGGTAATGCTGTAGATGTAATATATTTAGATTTCCAAAAGGCGTTCGATAAGGTATCACATAATAGACTAATGAATAAGTTCAGAGCATGTGGAGTCAGTGGAAAAATAGCAGAAAGGATAGCAAGCTGGCTACAAAACAGAAAAGAGAGAGTAGGGATAAAGGGTAGCTATTCAGGGTGGGCAGTGGTGTTCCACCAGGATCGGTATTGGGACCACTGTTGTTCACAATATACATTAATGATTTGGATTCGGGAATCAGCAGTACAATTTAAAAATTTGCGGACGACACTAAATTAGGGGGAGAAGTTAACACAGGAGGACTGCAACAAATTACAGCAAGACATTAATAAACTTGCTGAGTGGGCATTTAAATGGCAAATGGCAACAAGCACCAACAAGCCAGTCTGGCTCATCAGCACGACCTGGGGGAATGGCAGACCAGTGTACAGCATTTCAGACCCAAGCTGGGGTCAGGGGGGGGAGAAGGGAGAGAAGAGGAAGAGGGGTGGCTGATGGCATGGTCGAAGAGTAGGATCTTGAGGCGGGACTTGAAGGAGGCTAAGGAGGGGACAAGGTGGAGTGATTGGTGGATAGAATTCCAGAGGTTGGGGGCAGAGTGGCTGAAGTCTCTCCCACCAATGGTGGGGCAGGTGGGTTGGGGGATGTGTAGGAGGCCGGAGCCGGCTGAGCGGAGGGAGCGGGTGGGTTGGTAGGAGGTTAGGAGGTCGCAGAGGTAGGGTGGGGCGAGACCATGGAGGGCTTTGTAGGTGAGAACCAGGAACTTGAACTGGATTCTCTGAAGGATAGGGAGTCAATGGAGTTGGGCGAGAGTGGGGGAGATGGGGTAAACAATCAATAACACTAAGAAGCAAATAATATCAATGCTAAGCAATCAATATTTCAAGGGACAAATGTAGGAAGTAAATAGCCATAAAAGTATATTTTGTATATATATATAAAGTATAAGTTTCTATGTCAATGGATCATAAAAGCATAGCTATCGTCACAAAGATGTAACTTTTGCTGAAGCAACCTTCGTTATTGAAACAGACGAAAACAGAGAAACTAATTGTGTAAGTAATGTTTCTACATTGAGATTGTATTTCGGTTTTCTTTCCCCTTTGCCACACCTACCTTATCTGCTGCTGTAGCTTTTCCCCTTTGCCACACCTACCTTATCTGCTGCTGTAGATTTTCCTGTAACTGCTGGAAACAGTCCACCTTGAAGCAGAACACATGACAAAAAATCAACTTGGTTTTTGCATTTCAATGTAGTTCACTGAATGCATTTTCTCCTCTGTGGTTCTGTGCTCCAGCTTATCATCTGTCACTGAATTGTCCAGATGCTCTCCCACTGAAACCTGCTCCACTTGCCCTACTTCATTCCCCAAAACTAGATCTAGCACTGCTTCCTTCCTTGTTGGGCTGGAAACGTACTGATCAAGAAAGTTATCCTGTATGCGTTTTAGGAATATTTCCCCTGCTTGCCCTTTGCGCTGTTGCTTTGCCAGTTTATGTTGGGAAAATTGAAGTCCCCCATTATCACGACCCTATTGGCCTTGCATTTGTCTGAGATCTGCTTGCAGATCTGCTCATCTATTTCCTTCCCACTATTTGGTGGTCTATAGTATACCCCTACCAGTGTTACAGCTCCTTTTTTGTTCCTTAACTCTAACCAGATAGATTCCATTTGGGGGCCCTCCAGCACGTCAACCCTTTCCACGGTTATAACTGTATTCTTGATTAACATTGCCACAACCCCTCCTTCTTTTCCTTCCCTATCCCTCCTGAATACATTATAGCCAGGAATATCCAACTCCCATTCCTGTCCTTGCTTGAGCCAAATCTCTGTTACTGCTACTACATCATATCGCCGTACGACCACTTGAGCTTGCAGCTCACCAATCTTGTTTGCTAAACTCCGTGCATTTAGGCACATGCACTCCAAGACCAACTTGACCTGTTCTGCACTTCCCCCGCTTTTTTTCCTCCATTTTCTAGCTCTCCGTTTTTTGCATTCCCTTCCCCCCTCAAAACTAGTTTAAACCTTCCCCAACAGCATTAGATAGCCTGTCTGCAAGCACATTCGCCCCAGCCCTGTTTAGGCCAAGCATTCACATGCTTGATCCTGCCACTCTGGTACTTATTTGCCCGAGGCACAGGGAGTAATCCAGAGATCACCACCTTAGATGTTCGATTCTTTAGTATGTATTCCCCAGCTTTTGATACTGACCCTGTAGAGTCTCAGCACTTTTTTTACCAATATCATGGATCCCCACCTGGACTACCACTTCTGGATGTTCGCCTTCCCCTGAAGAATTTTATCCACCCTTTCTGCGATGAATAAAGATGTAAGGGCAACTTGAGACTCAGGAAAGAGGCGTTCACTAAATACATAAACAACAAAGGAGAGCATGACAAAAAAAATTACAAAGAGGTCAGGAAAATAGTCAAAAAACAATTAGGAAGGCAAAGAGGAATTATGAAGTTAAATTATCAAGGAATATAAAAAGAAATAGTAAAATATTCTACACCTATACATAACAAAAGAAAAATCAAAATCGGAATAGGGCCACTAAGGGATGGACCAGATAAGCTCACAGGCCGCCACAGTGAAATGGCAGAAATATTAAATAATTACTTTGTCTCAGTATTCCCAGGGAGACGGATCAGGTGGACTTGACAGTAGAAGAGATCGAAAATAATATAAATACATTTAAGATACAAAGGGGAGTTATAATTGAAAAACTAACAAAACTCAGAGAGGATAAAAGCCTTGGTCCAGATGGTTGCATCTGCGTATATTAAAAGAATCGAGGGAAGAGATAGCAGAAGCACTATTACACATATATAATAACTCATTAGAAAAGGGAGTAGCGGCAGAGGACTGGAGAATAGCTAATGTTATACCTATATTTAAAAACGAAGATAGAACAAGCCCAGGGAACTATAGACCTGTCATCTTTAAGATGACAGATCTATAGTTCCCTGGGCTTGTTGTAGGAAACATAATGGAATGCTTACTGAATGAGGTAATAGAAAAACATCTGGAAATGAAATAAAGAATAGTCAGAAGGTATTTCAAAACGGAATGTCATGCTTGACCAACTTCATTGAATTCTTTGAAGGGATAACAGAAAGAGTATACAAGGGTAATGCTGTAGATGTAATATATTTAGATTTCCAAAAGGCGTTCGATAAGGTATCACATAATTGACTGATGAATAAGTTCAGAGCATGTGGAGTCAGTGGAAAAATAGCAGAAAGGATAGCAAGCTGGCTACAAAACAGAAAAGAGAGAGTAGGGATAAAGGGTAGCTATTCAGGGGTGGGCAGTGGTGTTCCACCAGGATCGGTATTGGGACCACTGTTGTTCACAATATACATTAATGATTTGGATTCGGGAATCAGCAGTACAATTTAAAAATTTGCGGACGACACTAAATTAGGGGGAGAAGTTAACACAGGAGGACTGCAACAAATTACAGCAAGACATTAATAAACTTGCTGAGTGGGCATTTAAATGGCAAATGCATTTCAATGTAGAAAAGTATGAGGTGGTACATTTTAGTAGAAGGAATAAGGAAGTTGCAAAATCCTGGAAAATAAAAATCTAAATGAGGTAGAGGAGCAAAGGTACCTAGGGGTACACATATACAATTCACTAAAAGTAGCAACACAGGTTAATAAGGCCATAAAAAAGACAAACCAGGCATTGGGGTTCATTTCTAGAGGGATAGAAATGAAAAGCAGGACAGTAATGGTAAACTGCTACAGAACCTTGGTTAGACCACACTTAGAATACTGTGTGCAGTTCTGGTCCCCACATTATTGAAGGGATGTAGAGGCACTGGAGAGGGTGCAAAGGAGATTCACAAGGATGATCCCAGAACTCAGAGGTTATAACCATCAGGAAAGGCTGAATATGCTTGGACTCTTTTCTCTTGAAAAGAGGAGGGTAAGGGGTGACCTGATAGATATCTGTAAAGTGATAAAAGGTTTTGATAGGGTAGACATAGGGAAGATGTTTCCACTTGTGGGGAGACCAAAACCCAGGGCCATCAATATAAAATAGTCACAAATAGATGAAATAGAGAAGTCAGAAGAAATTTCTTCACACAGAGCAGTGGGAATGTGGAACATGCTACCACAAGGAGTTGTTGAGGCAAATGGCATAGATGTATTTAAGGGAAAATTAGATAGGTACATGAGGGAGAAATGAATAGAAGGTCCTGCTTGAAAGTTTAGTTGAGGAAGGGCAGGAGGAGCCTCATGTGGAGCATAAAGACCGGCGTAGACCAGTTGGGCCGAATGGCCTGTTTCTGTGCTGTATATTCTAATGTATTCTAGTGTACTTCCCAGTAGAATCGATATTGATTCTATTGTATCTATGCGTATGTACAGTGGTGAGGGAATGTACCTCCAGTAAGAAAGTGACCATTAAAAATGAAAGAGGAGGAATAGTGGGTAATATGGTTTAGGTTCTGTTTGCTAAGCAGAGAAGTAATAACAATAGTAGTAGTTGGTCAGGGGAAACCCAGAAGTCAGGTTAGGCAGTACGAGTTAGGTAGTAGGCTAATAGCTGGTTGTGTCTGTTGAGTTTACTGGAGCCACTCTCTGTGACTTAGTGTCACCATTGTCGATTGAATATTGCTGTATATGACTGGTTGAGTCTGAGGGTTTACCGGATGCCAGTCCCTGTTTAGTGTTGGTAATACGAGTGTCAGTTGTCTCTGAGGGGTATTTCTAGAGACTGATCTTTCTAGTATATGTCAAGGTGTAATCCCAGGTCTATTGTTTCGTCTGAAGTACAAATGTCCTGGATGTGAGGTAACCTTCTGCAATTGAACGACAACAAGACCGAGGCTCTCCTGATTGGTGCCCATCAGTGCCTCCACACCTCAGGCACAGACAGTATCATTATCCATGGATGCACATTCCATCTCACTGAGTCAGTCCAGAACCGTGGGTCTTGTTTAATCCTCAACTGTCCTTCCTACCCCACATCCGACCCACTCTACCTTGCCCCACCTCCGTAATATCACCCGACTCCACCACTGTCTCACCCCTCAGGCTGCTGAAACCCTCATCCACGCATTCAACACATCGAGGCTAGACTACGCCAACTCCCTGCTTGTCAGTCTTACCAAATATTACCTCCACAAGCTGCAGATCATCCAGAACTCTGTAGCTTGTGTCCTCTCCCTCACCCTCTACGACCTATGACCCCATCACCTCCACCCATACCCCAGAGGATAGAGTGCAAAATCTTCATCCTGTCCTTCAAGGCACTCCACGGACTTGCTCCTCCCTATCTCTGCAACCTGCTGACCCCTCACTGATGAAGACCCGGAAAAGAGCATCGTGGAGCAAGATTAGCTTCTCTCTTTATTTTGGTTGTGATGGCCCAGATCACTTCTTTGATTGAGCACGGAAGGAGCAATGAGACTTTGGACCTTTGAAGCTGTATCATCAACTCCTATCTGTATCAAAACACATTTTACTGCCTCCAATGCCATTCCACTGATCCTCACATCTGACTTGGACTTCGGAACCCAAATTCAAATTCGGAACCCAGTTCAAATTTGAAAAAGACTTTCCGATCTGATTTATACTAGAATTGTACCTTACTTCCGTGTTTCATTTTGATAGAAAAAACTGTGCTTCCTTGTCCTCCCTGCTTTCATTTAATATAAGCTGTTTAGAAGCCAAAATGCAAATAATTGTGCCTGCCTCACTACATTTATTGCATTTTGCCTTTTGATATTGTTTAAATTATTAAAACATTCCTTGCATTTAATATAGCAGCTTTCATATCATAAGAAGTTTCAAAGCACCTCACATAATTTTAGTGTAAAGTGATGACATTTTGTAGGCAAATATGGCAGTAAAGTTACACTCAGAAATGTAACTCATGAAGTGAGCAACTAATTTTATTTGGAGAATTGTCGTCCAAGACACTGGAAGAAACTATTTTCTTTTCAAATAGTATCATGGAATCTTTCACGTCCATCTGACCAGGCAGATGAGACTTTGGCTTATTGTCTCATCCGAAGGAGCATCTCCAAAGACATCCAAATATATCTCTCTGCCTCCACCCTTGATTCCAAGGCCACTCTGCTGTCCTAACAAAATGTCTGTCATCAAGTCTCATACTGCAGGTCACTGAAACCTTCAAATACGCATTCGTAATATCCAGGTTTGACTATGCAAACTCGATGATTCTCGGTCTCCCCAACTCCTCCCTCCATAGGCTGCAGATCATCTAGAAATCTGAAGCCCATGTCTTCTCCCAAACCAGGCTCTGTGACCCTATCACCCCCATCCTCGCCCAACTCCATTGGCTTCCCATCTCACAGAGAATACAGTTCAAGATCCTGGTCCTCACCTTCAGAGCTCTCCATGGCCTTGCTCATCCCTACCTCTAAGACCACCTAACCCCCTACCAACCAAAGTAAATCCAGTTTAAAAAACAAATACAAAATGCTAATATCTCGTTGCAAGCCAAATAAAGTAATTAAAGGCAATTTGCATGTGTCTTTGTCTGTGTGTGTGTGTGCCTGATACCTGGGATTAAAAAAGGCATTGTGGATTCCGTTTCATTTCGCTGTTACTACTACTATGAATAATTCTCAGATTTCATATAACGCCTTATCACGTCTTCGAGGTGTCTCAAACGCTTCACAGAATATACTGTAAAATGAATTGACTGTGTATTTTATGGGCGAAACGCAGCAATCAATCCCCAAATTATTATTGTTTTATTATTTTGGTGGGGGAGGGATTATTACCCCCAGAGAATCGATCCACCAATCGACTAACAACCATGTTCCTACTTACTGCTAGGTAAACAGAGGGGTATGAAGTAAGGAAACTTACCCAACATTTCGCCCTGCCTGGAATTGAACTAAGCTCTCTCGCTTGCGAGGCTAGTGCTCAAACCACTGAGCTACAGGACTCCACATCATTGGTTACTCAGTTGATGACTGTTCTGGTCTTTGCATGAATAAAATGCTTATGTAACAAATTTATTTAACCATTGGAACCAGACCCCTGGTATATTGGCTCTACACCCTGCTGAGCTGGTTATACATGAGATCATTTATCATGGGGGTGTTGATGGGTATTGTTAGGTTTCCTAGGAAATATTGTAACACTAGTTCCAATAATCCAACAAGCACCAACAAGCCAGTCTGGCTCATCAGCACGACCTGGGGGAATGGCAGACCAGTGTACAGCATTTCAGACCCAAGCTGGGGTCAGGGGGGGGAGAAGGGAGAGAAGAGGAAGAGGGGTGGCCGATGGCATGGTCGAAGAGTAGGATCTTGAGGCGGGACTTGAAGGAGGTTAAGGAGGGGACAAGGTGGAGTGATTGGTGGATAGAATTCCAGAGGTTGGGGGCAGAGTGGCTGAAGTCTCTCCCACCAATGGTGGGGCAGGTGGGTTGGGGGATGTGTAGGAGGCCGGAGCCGGGTGAGCGGAGGGAGCGGGTGGGTTGGTAAGGGGTTAGGAGGTCGCAGAGGTAGGGTGGGGTGAGGCCATGGAGGGCTTTGTAGGTGAGAACCAGGAACTTGAACTGGATCCTCTGAAGGATAGGGAGTCAATGGAGTTGGGCGAGAGTGGGGGAGATGGGGTAAACAATCAATAACACTAAGAAGCAAATAATATCAATGCTAAGCAATCAATATTTCAAGGGACAAATGTAGGAAGTAAATAGCCATAAAAGTATATTTTGTATATATATATAAAGTATAAGTTTCTATGTCAATGGATCATAAAAGCATAGCTATCGTCACAAAGATGTAACTTTTGCTGAAGCAACCTTCGTTATTGAAACAGACGAAAACAGAGAAACTAATTGTGTAAGTAATGTTTCTACATTGAGATTGTATTTCGGTTTTCTTTCCCCTTTGCCACACCTACCTTATCTGCTGCTGTAGCTTTTCCCCTTTGCCACACCTACCTTATCTGCTGCAGTAGATTTTCCTGTAACTGCTGGAAACAGTCCACCTTGAAGCAGAACACATGACAAAAAATCAACTTGGTTTTTGCATTTCAATGTAGTTCACTGAATGCATTTTCTCCTCTGTGGTTCTGTGCTCCAGCTTATCATCTGTCACTGAATTGTCCAGATGCTCTCCCACTGAAACCTGCTCCACTTGCCCTACTTCATTCCCCAAAACTAGATCTAGCACTGCTTCCTTCCTTGTTGGGCTGGAAACGTACTGATCAAGAAAGTTATCCTGTATGCGTTTTAGGAATATTTCCCCTGCTTGCCCTTTGCGCTGTTGCTTTGCCAGTTTATGTTGGGAAAATTGAAGTCCCCCATTATCACGACCCTATTGGCCTTGCATTTGTCTGAGATCTGCTTGCAGATCTGCTCATTTATTTCCTTCCCACTATTTGGTGGTCTATAGTATACCCCTACCAGTGTTACAGCTCCTTTTTTGTTCCTTAACTCTAACCAGATAGATTCCATTTGGGGGCCCTCCAGCACGTCAACCCTTTCCACGGTTATAACTGTATTCTTGATTAACATTGCCACAACCCCTCCTTCTTTTCCTTCCCTATCCCTCCTGAATACATTATAGCCAGGAATATCCAACTCCCATTCCTGTCCTTGCTTGAGCCAAATCTCTGTTACTGCTACTACATCATATCGCCGTACGACCACTTGAGCTTGCAGCTCACCAATCTTGTTTGCTAAACTCCGTGCATTTAGGCACATGCACTCCAAGACCAACTTGACCTGTTCTGCACTTCCCCCGCTTTTTTTCCTCCATTTTCTAGCTCTCCGTTTTTTGCATTCCCTTCCCCCCTCAAAACTAGTTTAAACCTTCCCCAACAGCATTAGATAGCCTGTCTGCAAGCACATTCGCCCCAGCCCTGTTTAGGCCAAGCATTCACATGCTTGATCCTGCCACTCTGGTACTTATTTGCCCGAGGCACAGGGAGTAATCCAGAGATCACCACCTTAGATGTTCGATTCTTTAGTATGTATTCCCCAGCTTTTGATACTGACCCTGTAGAGTCTCAGCACTTTTTTTACCAATATCATGGATCCCCACCTGGACTACCACTTCTGGATGTTCGCCTTCCCCCTGAAGAATTTTATCCACCCTTTCTGCGATGAATAAAGATGTAAGGGCAACTTGAGACTCAGGAAAGAGGCGTTCACTAAATACATAAACAACAAAGGAGAGCATGACAAAAAAAATTACAAAGAGGTCAGGAAAATAGTCAAAAAACAATTAGGAAGGCAAAGAGGAATTATGAAGTTAAATTATCAAGGAATATAAAAAGAAATAGTAAAATATTCTACACCTATACATAACAAAAGAAAAATCAAAATCGGAATAGGGCCACTAAGGGATGGACCAGATAAGCTCACAGGCCGCCACAGTGAAATGGCAGAAATATTAAATAATTACTTTGTCTCAGTATTCCCCAGGGAGACGGATCAGGTGGACTTGACAGTAGAAGAGATCGAAAATAATATAAATACATTTATAATAATAATAATAATAATAATAATCCTTGCATTTGATATAGCGCTTTTCACGTCGGGAGGACGTCCCAAAGCGCTTCACAGAACACACTGTAAAGTGAATTGACTGTATATTTGTGTCGAACGCGGCAGCCAATTGCGCACAACAATGTCCCACAAACAGTCGTAGATTGAAAATGACCAATTTATTATTGTTTTTGGTTTTGGAGGGATTATTATTAGGCTCTGTGTGGAGTAAGGAAACTTGCCCAAGGTTTCGCCCTCTGCCTGGAATTGAACTCAGGTCTCTCGCTTGCAAAGCGAGTGCTCTAACCACTGAGCTACAGGACTCCACTTTTTTATTTGGGGATTGTTGGCCAGGGAATTTTTACCCCTTCTGCTACCTCTTTGCCCGTCTTCAGATAGCACCTGAAGGCTCCATTTAAGATACAAAGGGGAGATATAATTGAAAAACTAACAAAACTCAGAGAGGATAAAAGCCTTGGTCCAGATGGTTGCATCTGCGTATATTAAAAGAATCGAGGGAAGAGATAGCAGAAGCACTATTACACATATATAATAACTCATTAGAAAAGGGAGTAGCGGCAGAGGACTGGAGAATAGCTAATGTTATACCTATATTTAAAAACGAAGATAGAACAAGCCCAGGGAACTATAGACCTGTCATCTTTAAGATGACAGATCTATAGTTCCCTGGGCTTGTTGTAGGAAACATAATGGAATGCTTACTGAATGAGGTAATAGAAAAACATCTGGAAATGAAATAAAGAATAGTCAGAAGGTATTTCAAAACGGAATGTCATGCTTGACCAACTTCATTGAATTCTTTGAAGGGATAACAGAAAGAGTATACAAGGGTAATGCTGTAGATGTAATATATTTAGATTTCCAAAAGGCGTTCGATAAGGTATCACATAATAGACTAATGAATAAGTTCAGAGCATGTGGAGTCAGTGGAAAAATAGCAGAAAGGATAGCAAGCTGGCTACAAAACAGAAAAGAGAGAGTAGGGATAAAGGGTAGCTATTCAGGGGTGGGCAGTGGTGTTCCACCAGGATCGGTATTGGGACCACTGTTGTTCACAATATACATTAATGATTTGGATTCGGGAATCAGCAGTACAATTTAAAAATTTGCGGACGACACTAAATTAGGGGGAGAAGTTAACACAGGAGGACTGCAACAAATTACAGCAAGACATTAATAAACTTGCTGAGTGGGCATTTAAATGGCAAATGGCAACAAGCACCAACAAGCCAGTCTGGCTCATCAGCACGACCTGGGGGAATGGCAGACCAGTGTACAGCATTTCAGACCCAAGCTGGGGTCAGGGGGGGAGAAGGGAGAGAAGAGGAAGAGGGGTGGCTGATGGCATGGTCGAAGAGTAGGATCTTGAGGCGGGACTTGAAGGAGGCTAAGGAGGGGACAAGGTGGAGTGATTGGTGGATAGAATTCCAGAGGTTGGGGGCAGAGTGGCCGGGTGAGCGGAGGGAGCGGGTGGGTTGGTAAGGGGTTAGGAGGTCGCAGAGGTAGGGTGGGGTGAGGCCATGGAGGGCTTTGTAGGTGAGAACCAGGAACTTGAACTGGATTCTCTGAAGGATAGGGAGTCAATGGAGTTGGGCGAGAGTGGGGGAGATGGGGTAAACAATCAATAACACTAAGAAGCAAATAATATCAATGCTAAGCAATCAATATTTCAAGGGACAAATGTAGGAAGTAAATAGCCATAAAAGTATATTTTGTATATATATATAAAGTATAAGTTTCTATGTCAATGGATCATAAAAGCATAGCTATCGTCACAAAGATGTAACTTTTGCTGAAGCAACCTTCGTTATTGAAACAGACGAAAACAGAGAAACTAATTGTGTAAGTAATGTTTCTACATTGAGATTGTATTTCGGTTTTCTTTCCCCTTTGCCACACCTACCTTATCTGCTGCTGTAGCTTTTCCCCTTTGCCACACCTACCTTATCTGCTGCTGTAGATTTTCCTGTAACTGCTGGAAACAGTCCACCTTGAAGCAGAACACATGACAAAAAATCAACTTGGTTTTTGCATTTCAATGTAGTTCACTGAATGCATTTTCTCCTCTGTGGTTCTGTGCTCCAGCTTATCATCTGTCACTGAATTGACACCAGATATCACAGCAGTTTCAGAATTCTATTCCTGGAACAAAACCATTTGATACAATGAAACTTGAACCAAAATCAAGGTTTAATTATTTCTTGAGCAGGGCTCCATTATCATGATTCTCTCTTCTCCACTGTCCCTATGCGCTGGGCAGACCCCTTATGTCACAGTGACCAGAAGTATATGATGCAATCTAGGTGAGGCCTGACCAGAATAACAAACCACCAGAGTATGAGGTCTTGGGATCAAAATTGATTTAGCAATACAGATCAATAATCTGTTTGCCCTGTTAAGTCACACTGTTTAACATACTCGGAAATGAGTCAACTAATAGCACTAATAGTACCCTGCATGAAGGCCGTTATATAAATGCAAGTTTTTGTTGCTGTTGTTGTAATACCGTTTGATCTCTTTCAGATTCTCTGCTCAGTCTGTCATCTCCCCTATAATCTCCATTAGCTGTGTTATTATACTATGGGTAAAGTGTGCTGCATTTCACACCATATTCATTCTTTCTAATTAATACAAGGAACGGGTTAAGAAGCACCACAAACTTTACCTTTATATTGATATCACAGGTGAAGTTACTGATGGGGATAAGGTATCTTCTGAAATACAAATCACACTTTATAAAGAAATAATAATCCTTGAATTTCATATAGCGCATAATCATGTTGAAATGTTTCAAAGCGCTTCACAGGATTATACAGCTAAGTGCTAACTGTGTATTTATGAATCATATTTCTTGTTTCTCCAACACTCACTTATTTATACCCATAAAACAGATCAAATAGTCCACAATAGAGTTCAGCCAAACATAGAGTGTCGTACAACTAAACTGCACAACAGATTTAGATGAACTGTAACTCGCAAAAAAAATGACAATAGACATATTGTCAAACTCTAAAAGGAAGGCATCTGCCTATCTTGGAAAATATTTTTTTTTGACTTGTTGCACATAAAATTCCTTGTCCTTGTAGATCTAAATCAATCCTGTAAGACAGGCTGCTCTGACGCCACATTGTGAGTTACAGTAAGACACTGAAATAATTATCTGTAGTTGCAACACTGATACTAATTTTGTAACGAGATTGATTAAAGCAGCATTGGTGTTTAAATTACAGAGGTACATTGAGATCATGGAATTATAGAATCATAGAATTATACAGCACAGAAGGAAGCCATTCGGCCCATCGTGTCTGTGCCGGCTCTTTGAAAGAGCTACAAATCGATCCCACTCCCCCGCGCTCTCCTCATAGCCCTGCAAACTTGTCCTCCCAAATAATTATCTACTTCGCTTTTAAAAGTTGTTATCAAATCGGCTCCAAGCAGTGCATTCCAGTTCCAAACAACTCGGTGTGTGAAAAAAGTTCTCCTTTGCACCTTCTCTAATCCAATGCCTTGACATCCTTCCTAAAGTGTGGTGCCCAGAACTGAACACAGTAATCTAACTGAAGCCTAATCAGTGTTTTATAAAGGTTCATCATAACTTCCTGACTTTGTATTCTATGCCCCTATTTATAAAGCCTAGAATCCCGTATGCTTTTTTAACAACTTGATCTACCTGTCCTGCCACTTCAAAGATTTACTTATATGAAACCCCAGGTCTCTCTATTCCTTCACCCCCTTTAAGATTATACCACATAGTTTATATTGCCTCTCCTCATTCTTCCTCCCAAAATGCATCACTTTGCATTTATCCATATTAAACTTCATCTGCCACATGTCTGCCCATTTTACCAGTCTGTCTATGTCCTCTTGTAGTCCTCACCTTTAAGGCCATCCATGGCCTTGCCCCCTCCTACCTCTCTGACCTGCTGACTCCCTACCAACCTGCCCGCTCCCTCCATTCATCAGGCTCTGGCCTGCTCCATGTCTCCCACCTGACCCGCCCTACCAACGGTGGCCAAGCTTTCAGCCTCTCTGCTCCCACACTCGGAACTCCATCCCACAGTCCCTTGGCCTCGCTTCCTCCCTTGCCTCCTTCAAGGCCGGTCTCAAGACCCTTCTCTTCGACCGTGCCTTTGGTCTCCCTCCCACCTCTCTGCCTTCCCTCACCCCTACACCACCTCTCCCCCATGCTCGGGCCCCGACACCTGACTGTTCAGTGCTTTGGGATGTCCTCCCGACGTGAAAGGCGCTCTATAAATGTAGTTTTGTTGTTGCTACTATTACCTTCACTGTTTATTACTTTTCTTAGCTTAGTATCATCTGAAAACTTGAAGATTGTACTCCCTATACCCAGTCCAGGTCATTTATATAGATCACAAAGAGCAATGTCCCAATACCGATCCCTGGGAACACCACCACACACTTCCCTCCAGTCAGAAAAACATGCGTTCTGCCCTGCCATATTCCCAGATATGTTTTAAATATTTTAAGTTAAATAGCATATATTTTATAATTATAAAAGTCCACCGAAGTCCAGCTCACCTAATTCCTTAACAGAATGCTCGGTCTGCTCCAACTCACATTGCTGGGCTCTGCTCAAGA